ATAAAAACAATAACTAGCCTACTCATATAAAGTGGGTACTAATGTTCAGGAAATGTAATTGAAGGTTCTCAGTCAAATAGAACTAGCGCTAGGCTTCAAGTAGAAAAATAGAACTGCAAATTGTAATATCAACAGAGGGGACATTATCTGAAAGATTTACAAATCAACGGAAACTAACAAAACCAGCCTTGAGCCACCGATATTTAAGCAAAAACCTTTATACTTTAATGGTGAAAATGACTACTAGAGGTGCTAAAATGAATAAACATAGCACGTAACAGAGACAAATCAAAACAAGACATGAACAAAAAGAACAGAAAAGATAAAGAGCTAATGCAAATAGCACATTGTGATAACACCATCTCCATGAGACTTACTTGGCCAAGAGCCACCATTGTGATAACTCCATGAAACTTCTCTGGGTTATCTGTTGTTGTTCGGAAATCTTTTTTACAAGTTAAATCCTTGAACACACTCACTCATATTGTTAATATTACTGAATAAATGGCCTAGGCGGGCGCTAGGCGGGCTAGGCGGGCTAGGCAGTCTAGGCGGTTGCTAGGCGGTCACTAGGCGGGCGCTAGGATCATCAATGGTGAAAAAGTTGAAACGCGGTGCCGTTGGTAGGGAAAATAGGAGGGCTTTGTAGCACGCCACCGTCAATTTGGAGACTTGACAAGTGTTACTATCAGCAAAACAACAACAACAAACCCTGCTCAGAATTTCTCCCACAATCCTTCAGAATTTCATCCAGTTTTGGGATTAGACGATAATTCTTCAGAATTTTACGACGATGATGACAATGACAATGACGAAGAAGATGGTGGTGGCCGGGAGCGTGGTACAGTTTAAAATATTCTATTTAAATAGTATAGCCGATCGGCTATACTTATAACATACTCAGAGTATAGCCGGGCGGCTATACGTTTAGAATATTCTATTTATACTCTTTGACATATTCTATTTATAGAGTCCAGCCGCGCGGCTATACTGTTAGATATTCTATTGGGTTATTCGCAGCAATGGTCCCTCAACTATACCCGTAGTTACACTTTGGTCCCTCAATTCAATTATTAGTTGCGAGGGTCACTCAACTAGGTGCTATGTTGCACCAATAGTCCTTCCGTCAAATCTGTTAAATTTTATGTCAAAAGTGAGGATAAATTCGGAATTTCATCCACAACCCTCCCCTTCCTCCACAACCCTCCCCTTCCTCCACAACCCTCCATTGCTGCAACCCAAATCCTTGATGACACCAAAAAATTCAATTAAAAAGAAGCCGCACAACAACAAGAATATTTTCAGACCAGCAAACAAATTCAAGATCTCGCATTTTAACCAGCAAACAGCGTCTGGTTCGTGATTTTGTTTCCGTTATGTGTCTGAATTGGCAACGATGGAAGAAGATTCGGAGGCATCTCCTCTGCGATTGGAATTTGGAGGGAAAGTGGGGCAGCCAAGAAGCAACCCAACAAACTGCTAACAACCGCTGAAAAGTGATGGAAGTTCAGCCATGCGGGGCTGCTTCACGAGCCACACATATTTTTCAAAGCTTCAACTTTTTAGATGAAATGATAAGCGCAGGAAAAAGAACACACCTGCTTCTGGGTATCGAATTCAGCACTCACCTGCTTCTCCCCAATAATCTAAAACAACCCAAAAGATAAGCGCAGGAAAAAGAACCAACCTTTGAATTCGATCTGGGTATCGAGACCAACCCTTCTCCTAAATCACATCGGTCTTCTATAATCTTTGAACCCAATTCAAATACACCAATTTAAAACCCGACCCTTTTGCAAGAGCCATTAAATCTGACTTATGCGTGCTAAAATTTGTAGACTTTTGAAACAAAAACGAAAAAGGGTAAGTGCTGAAATGATGAATCTTTGGACCTCCCTGAGGGAGCAAACAAGAATGGAAGGTTGAACCATAGGTTCGGCACAAGAGGAATCTTTCTTAGACTCAGTTTGCCGTCAGTTTGCAAACCATCGAGAGGTTGAGAGGGAAGAGGGGTTGGTGGGTTAGGGTTTTGAAGTTTTGTGTAGCAGAGCCGTGGGAATTTTTTTTTAATTATTTTATTTTATTTTTTTGAGAGATCCGTAGGAATTTTTATTATTTGATATTCAATTTGAATTTCCAAATTTACAAATTTTGAAGTTGAGGAGGATAGGGAGGGTTGTGAATGAATTTCCGAATTTACCCTCACTTTTGACAGATAGAAAATTTAACAGAACTTGACGGAAGGACTACTGGTGCAACGAAGCACAGAGGTGAGTGACCCCTGCAACTAATAATTGAATTGAGGGACCAAAGTGTAACTATGGGTATAGTTGAGGGACCATTGAATATAGCCGCGCAGCTATACTATTTGATATTCTATTTATATAGTATAGCCGGTCGGATATACCATTTAATACTTTTGTGAATATATTTTAAAAGTATATTCTCGGCCACATAAATATCACAAGACCCATAAATATCACAAAAGTTAAACACTGCTGTGCTGACCACTGAACACTGAATGAATGGCTGCTATCTTCCGCCACATTTTACACACTCCACCACCGCACTCCTCCTCTTTCCCTCGCCCTGCTTCTTCTGCTTTACCTTCATCTACATTTCTCTCAAGGCCCTCCTGCATCCGCGCCGCATCATCTCCCATGGACCTTCACAACCAAGCAAGCAAAATAAAGTTCATAGACTTCCCCTACGTGTCGGCCCCACACAGGAACCTCATGGTTGATCTTGTATCGACATTAGAGACGCGCCTTGGCTCGCAGCTCCTCCCTTGTACCCTCCCTCCCGACGTACAATACTATCAGAACGAGACTGGCACCAACCATGCATCCCTCCACATCAGATCCGGCCTCGCCTCCTCCCCTGTAATTTTTCTCAATCCCTCTGTTTCTTCTTGTTCTTTTTTTTTTTTACAAACAAAATCATGGGTGATGCATATGATTAATTACTTATGCTACTTATCAATGTGTGGTTATTTGGTGTTAACTTGGACACTTCATTAAGTGAAAATGTGGATAAGTAATGGTTTGATGCAAATTGGGTTTTAAAATGAGTGATTAGCTTTTGACATAAAAGGGATTGTTGGGGTTTTATGAGACTAAATTGGGTTGATTTCTTTCATTTATGGATCATTTTTAATTGTAAAATGTAATATAACAAGTGTAGTACGTAGTGTCTACATCGTCACAAGGCTTGTAGCTCAAGTGATTACGATAATTACTCTGCATCCAAAGTCTTGTGTTTGAATCCACCTCCCTCAATATCAGTTGCATAAACAAATACTGACTGAATATCGACAATGTAACAAGTACTGCATATTAGTAGCTGGTACGAAACAATCTTTTGCCTAACTCTATATGCCCAAAAAAAAAAAAACTTTTTGATTCTTACATATATACATATACATGGTCTAGGGATGAATAATTTTATACCTCTTAATTGACATTTATGTTTCAGGTTGATTTCATATTAGGAAGTTGGCTGCACTGTGAGCTACCAACTGGTGGAGCATTGAACATTACAAGCCTCTCATCCTATCTGAACCAAACCACAGATGCACCAAATTTCCTACTTGAGCTCATCCAGAGCAGCCCAACCTCCCTGGTCCTCATCCTTGACTTGCCTCCCAGAAAAGACCTTGTCCTCCACCCTGACTACCTGCAAACATTTTATCAAGACACCCAACTGGACACACCCAGGCAAAGGCTTGACAAACTTGCTGAGGCTAAACCCTACTTCTCTTCATCGCTATACATCCGCAGTGTTGTGTCTCCAACAGCCATTTTGTTTAGGATTGAAGCAGAGGCTGGTGGGCAGGGACAAAGCCTGGAGGAGATCATAGAGAACCATGTGGGTCCCATTACAAAGGAGGTGCTGGGAATTTGGCTGGATCAATGTGCTTGTGGGAAGAGAGAAGTGGAAGAGGATGAGAGGGCTTACCTAAAGAAGAGGGATGATTTGATCAAGAGGAAGACTATTGAGATTGATTTGGGGTCCAATTTTCCTAGGTTGTTTGGGCCTGATGCTGCAGATCGAGTATTGGGTGCCATTAAAGAAGTTTATAGGGTATGATCAGATCAAGCATGGGATTAATGTGCTTGATTTGATCAGTGTGGAAGATAACAAATACCAGTGGTATGATATTAATAGGAAGGATTTGGCAAATAAGATGTGTTTACCTGAGTTTGAAGAAGGAAAAAAAAAACAGTGAGAATTGTATATATTTTAGCTTGAAATCATCTTCTTTTGGATTGGGTTATGAATACTTGTACAAATAACCACATTTGTTGCCTTTAAAAGGAAAATATGAAGATGCATTTCGTCCAAAAAAAAAGGAAGGAAAATATGGTGCTACAAATATTTTCACCCCTGCCTAAACCATTCCAAGTTCCAATAGTAACTAACCTCATATCATATCACATAAAATCACCCAACGCAACTCCAAAGAAATGACATAACTCATAAGCCTTGTGGTTTGAGCTTCCTCCAAGAGGCAAGCCTAGGAAATATTTTTGGAGATTATTTCGGATCCAATTGAAGTGACAGTATTTCATTTGTTTATATGTGAGAGAGAGACTAAACATTAAAGTCTCCACGCATCAAAATTTCGAGATTAGTTTCGAATCCAACTGAAATGATGGTGTTTCATTTCTTTCCACGCGATTTACTTACCATCTCTTTTTTTTTTCTCTTCATTTGTTATAACTTATATGTCATTATTCATGAAAATTTGACTAATTTTATGTGGTAGTGGCTTGGTTTGGTTAAATCTTTCCCCGCAAAGTGATGAAATCCAGTGTGTTTTCAACCACAAGGCACAAAGCCAAGGGCCTGGGTCATGTAGCTTCCAGACTTCTGGTCCCAACTCTCATTTAGCATCTTTTGATCTTTTACATCAGGCGCCATTCATGTACAGTGAAATCAGATCATGACAGCCACCTAACGTCGTAACCGTGGAGATTGACATCTCGAGCTTATCAGAAATGTATCAAGGACCGTCCCGCTGGAGTGGATCCCATTCTAGTACTTTCCATGTCTGCACCACCGACTTAAGTCCCCACGCGGTTCGGCAGATGTCATGCCCGCCGTCCGATGAGTTTTGTCGAAGACCTTGTCCATCCGCAACGGTAACCGGCTTGGACAATGAAATTGATAGTGGCATTTCAGTAATTGACTTCGCCAGAAAAAAAACAAAACAAGAGAAGAGAACATCGTATTTGATTTGATCCGATTAAAAACCTAGAGGTTTCTTCTTGAGATTGACCTAACCCGCATTTACAAGCTAGTTTGAATTTTAATAAATAAAACATATTGCATCATTTAATCACCAAAATTTGGTTAAAAAAAATTGGACTTGTAGTAGTATTTAGACCCATCCAATTGGCCTAAGTAGCGGGCAAGCAAGTAGTGTCCACTGAAATTGGATGGCAGAGAATAACTCACATAATCATATTGTCACTACCTGCCTTCTACTCACCCTATATAATTAAGCAGAACCCATCCCTTAGGCCACACTTTCACTCACTACCCTTTCTAGCTATCTCAGTCAGAGAGAGTGTCTTTAGAAATGAACACTATCCTTTTCTTTTTGCTCTACTCTCATTCATCTTCTTACTTGCAAAACAATTGAGATCAAGAAAACCCACACCAAATCTACCTCCAGGCTCAATGGGTTGGCCCTATCTAGGTGAAACCCTGCAACTCTACTCTCAAAACCCAAATGTCTTCTTTGCCACTAGGCAAAACAGGTAATTAATCAATTTCACTACTTTTCAAGACTGAATTATGACCTTAATCATTCAATTAATTATATAATTAATTTATATGGTGTGTGTATATATATATATTTATATATACATATAGGTATGGAGAAGTTTTCAAGACCCACATACTTGGAAGTCCTTGTGTAATGCTATCTAGCCCAGAGGCAGTGAGAGGTTTGTGTTGGTGACTCAGGCACACTTGTTTAAACCGACCTACCCTCAAAGTAAAGAAAAATTAATTGGTCCTTCAGCACTTTTCTTTCACCAAAATGACTACCATGCACAAATAAGAAGATTGGTTCAATCTTCATTGTCCTTGGATGTTAACCGGAACTTGGTCCCAGATATTGAAGCCATTGCCATTTCTCTCTTGGATTCATGGTCTGGAAAAGTTGTTAACACCTTTTATGAATTAAAGAAGGTTGGACAAAGTTTCTTTCTTTCATTTTTGATAAGTTAGCAACTGTTCGATAATCTACTTATATTTTTTGTGTTGATATTGTACTTGTGTTCGAAACTTGAACTTGTCGTTTACATTGGAAATTTTGAGATGACGCATTCAAATTAATAGCAAGTAAAATGCACATGTATTTAGTTTTTTTTTCTTCCCTACAAAACTTAAACAATTCCGTTTTCGGTAAACCTACTTTTACCTCCAACTAATAATAATAGCTTGTTTACTTTTTTTAATGCCTATATAATCAACTAGTTATGTTCATAAACTCAAGGGGTTTTAATTCAATATGCTGCTTTAACTAATGAAATCTTCAATATCTACGTGTGTTTACTCTGCATGATGGCAGTTCACATTTGATGTTGCTGTCTTGTTTATCTTTGGTCGCTTGAACAATCACCACCACAAAGAACTGCTCAAGGAAAACTACTACACACTAGACAAAGGTTACAATTCTTTCCCCACAAACCTACCTGGCTCTTCATACAATAAATCGGTCTCGGTAAGCATAACAATGCCATGATCATGGATTAAGTTTAATTATATCTTAATCTCTTTAGGAGGTAAACTAATCAAACTAAGTTACTCTCTTTTCTTTTAATGTTTAATATTCTCTTGCTCAATATCTTTTGGCGGGGGGCATGGGAATCTAAATTCATTTGTAAAGGCAAGGAGAAGACTAAGCTTAATTGTTAGTGAGATAATAAAGGAGAGAGAGGAAAAGAGTTTGGTGCAGAGAGATCTATTGGGCAGCCTATTGAACTTCAAGGATGAGAAGGGACAAACCTTAACGCACAATCAAATCGTGGACAACATCATCGGGGTAATGTTTGCCGCTCAGGACACCACAGCCAGGCTCCTAACTTGGATGATCAAATACCTTCACGATGACTCAAACACTCGAGAAGCTATCCAGGTCAGAATTTATAGCATGCATGGCCCCATTTTTGTGCCAAAATTTAATTAGTACCAATGCCATGGAAATTACCGTTAATATAGATTGAGCAGAAGGCCATTTTTGAGTCAAATGATGGAGGAAACCGTACGCTGAGTTGGGCTCAGACTAGAAATATGCCCCTTACCAGCAGGGTAAGTACAATTTGACAAATTCATGTGCCTACTTTTCGAGAAAATCTTGGCTTCTTATTCCTTTTTATCGACAAATTACAGTTTCACAAGTGCATAATAAACTTTTCTTTTTGTGTTTATAAAGGTAATTTGCATGTATTAAGGTAATTTTAAATGGGAAGCTTTGTATGATCTCAGGCTATAAAGGAGAGCTTGAGGATGGCAAGCATCATCTCTTTCACCTTTAGAGAAGCAGTCGAAGATGTTGAATATAAAGGTAGGCTTAGAATAATCTCATTCTTTATCCAACGGAAATCATATGAGAATCTGGTAAACTTTTATGAATTTCTGAGGGTATTTGCCTGTACCTACAAAACTGAGGAAAAAAGAAAAAACTGGCGAGAGTTTAATTACCATGCACGTACACGAATCATTGAAGCTTTGAAAACGACAGTAAAAGTGCTTAACACTGTTGGTGACTGACAGTACCAGGAAAGGGGAAGATTCCAACTCAATTATTCAGGAAAATTAAGTATAGAAACAAAATAAAAACATGGCACACGAGCCCCACTCTAATAAAAAGCCACACGAACTGTATAAGTCCTTTTCCAACCCTATAAGTATATGGGCACATTATTTCTCATGCATGGCATGCTAAAACTCTGGAGTAGTGAAATTAATTTTAATATAAAAAAAAAATTTACCTTACAGAAAAAGAAAAAAAGAAACAAAAAAGACGAAAAACCCTATAAAATAGTAGGTACGTTAACTTAGTTGAGTTTGCCGTGTACAACAGGATACTTAATCCCAAAGGGATGGAAGGTACTGCCTTTGTTCCGTAACATTCATCACAATCCTGATTTTTTCGTTGATCCGCATAAATTCAATCCATCAAGATTTGAGGTATGAAAGACTTGAGAGATATAACCTAATTGCCATTTGATCCCTAGCTTTATCTCTTCTGTTCTCTTTCATAATTTCCTGTTTGAATGTAAGAGAAAAACAAATTCATGAGCTTCTATTTGATTGCATGAAGCTTGGAATAAACCCCAACACATTCATGCCATTTGGCAATGGACTTCATACGTGCCCAGGAAATGAAGTTGCCAAGCTACAAATGCTTATTTTTATCCACCATCTTGTTATCAAGTTCAGGTACGAAAATCCAAACATGAATTGAGAAGAGAAATGAACATTTGTTCTTGGTTTAATTAATTAATAAAGAATTAATGCCGCATATTAATTAATATTATATATTGACAAAGAGATGGTATTGATCTGGTGCAGGTGGGAAGTAGAAGGGTCCGGTGGGGTTCATTATGACCCATTTCCAATACCTCAGAGAGGACTTCCTGCCAAGTTTTGGAAAGAAACCTGCAGCTGCACCCAAGGAAGGACATCAAAGCTAGTAAGCAGGGAGGAAAGCAAGCTGAAGTAGCTTTAAAAAGGGCCAATTTTTTTGGGTCGAAGAATATTTTAGCACTTTCAAAATCTTCACCAAATTGTCTATGAAATATAATGGCGTCTAAACTTGTGAATTTCTACATCATATTCTTCCCTCTATAAAATGGCACCCCTTTATCCGTATGTAGTGGTGAAAACTGATCATCATCTTGTTTCCCAAGTGAAAATGGTTATATATATATTAGCTAGATTCTTATATATAATATAATATAAATGTTCTTTTCTATGTTTTTGTACCACTTTAGTTATACGGTGTTCACTATCACACTGAAGATTACGTATTCCTCCTAAACACTTTATAAATGAGTTTACCCAAAAAAGGTTAACATTCTCATTTTGTTGATTACAGATTAAGAAAAAATTGAAATTAATTCTTAAAAAATAAAAAAATAAAAAATCTAACCGGACCTCCATGTTGCCGACAGCCACCATGAAACCCTCCTTCCTAACAGCCCACACTCCCGCTCTTTTCCATGCCTTAATCATATCGTGCATGTTACCAGTGTGACGATAACATCGTATAATTGCTTTTTAATAAGTACTTTCAACAAACTAATGACATGTTTATTAATCCGTAATCAAATTTGGAGAAATTGAATTGAGGATGAATTAAATTGATGAGGAGAATTAGATTTTGGATTCCTATTGAAGTTGTTTACTAAACCATATGGATTGAGGAGAGTTATATTCTGGATTCTTATTAAAGTTGTTTATTAAATCATATGGAAATGGGGTATGAGTTGTGCTAATTACTAAAATGTCCTCGTTGTTGGGTTAAAGTAGATAACAAATTTGGAATTTTAAAATTGTATGAGAATATAATGGGTAAAAAAAAATCCTAATGGGTTAGATTTTTCAGGAATTAAAATACCACCTCCCACCCCAGGAATTGAATTCCTCCAAAATCAGGAATTCAATTCCTGTAATTCCTGATTTTGTGTGAGCCCCCACTTACTTTTTAATTCCTTAACATGAAGTAAATGCAAAAACCATTCATAATTGAAATTCAATTCCTGATTCTAATTCCAATTCCTAAGAACAACTCAACAACTAAAAGATTTCAGTTGACCATGAAACTGGGCCTTATTTGACATTAACTAATCAAGCCCAATCTGACCCAGTATAAAAACCCCCAAAACATTCATGTCTTTTCCCAAATTTGATTTACAAAACAAACAGAGAGCTTCTAAGCTTGTGGGGGAAAGGAAGATCAAATTCATCCTTCTTACTTAACGCGTCGATAAATGGTAAGCTTCTCAATGCAATTTCCAGCTGAAAATTTTCAATCTTTAATATATTTCATGCAATATGTGTTCAATCTTATTCTGGGAATTGCATACTTAACGATGTGAATGAATGTCTTGAGCGATTGATGCGAATTCGAAAAGAAAGATCTGGGAATTTGAAGTTAAGAAATTTTGGGTCTTGGGTATGGCTTTGACTGACTTAGTTCTTTGAATTTTGGTATTGGGTGAAATAGGCAAGCCTTTACAGAGGGGCCTCTAGGAAAGAAAAACCCAGAGGGAGACATCATGGGTTACCTACACAAAAGAGACAAGAGATCAAGGAAGCGTTCGAGTTATTCGACACCGATGGCTCAGGTAATGCAAATTTGGGATTTTGATTAAGGTTTTAAGGTTATTATATTGTTCAACTTTTAGTTTTTGGTTTTGACCATGTTGTTGTGTTGTGTTGTTTAGGCACCATTGATGCCAAGGAGCTCAATGTTGCCATGAGGTATGAATTCTTGTCTTTTTCACAGGGGATTAATTGTCTAAATTCTTACAACTGATTTTATATTTTGTTTATGACATAGGGCTCTTGGTTTCGAGATGACAGAAGAGGTAACTTAGATTATCCACCCATGTAAACTCACTTGTTAAACTTGTTCTTTTGTGTTGTGTTTTGGAATGTGAGTATGTTTGAGAAAACCACTCCCATAATATTTAGACATAATTCAGATGTGTGTGGTTTTGCCAAAATTCGACCTAGATATCTTTTGCCATTTGTTTTGCTTGGACTCTATCTTCTTGTCTTCCTGATTATTTGTTGATTTCAACACTTAATCTTTCCATTCTTGTTGATGCTCTCTAGAACTTCATCCTTCAATTTTTATTGCAAGTTCTTAAGTGAACATTTTCAGTATTTGGTACATTGACTGAATTGCTAACATGTTGATCTGTTGTTTCATTGCAGCAAATCACTCAAATGATTGCAGATGTTGACAAGGATGGCAGTGGTGCTATTGACTTTGATGAATTTGTGCACATGATGACAGCCAAAATTGGGGAACGGGACACAAAGGAGGAACTCATGAAAGCCTTCCATCTCATCGACCTAGATAACAATGTATTGGTTTGCTTTCTAAATATTACATTTCTTTCAGTTTATAGTAATACGAATATTGGATTTGTTTCAATCTGTCAATACCTAATTCCATTTTTTTTCCATATTTGAATTTAGGGAAAGATATCTGCTGCAGACATTAAAAATATTGCAAAGGATCTGGGGGAAAACTTTAGTGATAGAGAGATCCAAGAGATGATTGAGGAAGCAGACCGAGATCGTGCGTGCTTAAATATAACCATTATTTTTTTTAATGCCTCAAAATTTATCATTTTGTTAACCCTAAGGTTATGACTTGAAATGTACAGGTGATGGAGAAGTTAATGCTGAGGAGTTCATCAGGATGATGAAGAGAACAGCATTTGGGTATTAGAACTGGAAAGGTTTTAGCCTTCTGCAGGATGTTGAGAGCCTGATCCGATGCAGAATTATTGTGTCATGTATTTTATAGCTATAAGCAAACACCTTTCTTTGTTTCACTTTGACATGCTTCTGTAGAATGATAATCTTAGACATAACATGGTGCCTAGTGTAGTGTGGTGGTGGTACATGTCTGTAAAATTTTAAATATTTGAAAGTATGAAAAATACCATCTTGGTTGATGGTATCGTTGTTATTACTTCTTTTGTGACAAATGGAAAAGATTTCAAATCCTTGGCTCGTAATCCTAACTCGTTTTCCGTTCTCTTTCACCACTTCGGCTAACCTTAAATTTTAAGTTAATAATAATTTCTCGGACTTGTTGGCACTCCAATAAAGTTATCATGTAGTTATCTCTTATAAAAATATATCCCTTAAAAAACATAGTGGAGAAATTGCATTTGCGGGTTTCAAATAATACATGGCTTCAACATTACTAGGCCACCAAAATTGTTAGTGCTAACAATTGCCAATACCACGTTTGGTCTCCAAAACAAAAGGAAATGAAAAATTGGGGACAAACCCAGAGGACAAAATTTAGGCATCACCCGTTAGCTACGTTTTCAAATCCTGCATGCATAATGCATTTTGTCTCTAATCTCAGAGCTTTCATGGAATATGGGTTTCTTCTTCCGAGTCTTAAATACTCTTTCTTCTTTGTCGCCGTCAATACTCTCTTTTGTCAGACACAAACATTATTCAATCACTGCCAAAACCACCCACTTCTTTCGTCTGCTAAACCTCTGCAAAACCAGCAAGGACTTGAAGCCTCTCAAGTCCTTTCTCATAGTTCATGGACTTGTTAACGACGTGTTTCCGATAGAGCAATTTGTTAGGTCCTGTTTTCATCTGGGTGCTTCACATTTAGCTCTCTCTTTATTCCAACAAATCCAAAGGCCAAGCCTTGGCTTGCAGAACCTGATAATCAGGTGCCTTTGCAATGATGGCTTATACCAAGACCTCTTATATGTCTATCTAAATTCCAGGGCTTTAGGCTGCCCATCTGATGATTTCACGTTTCCATTTGTAATTAAAGCGTGTGCAGCTCTGGGTGCTGTTAAGATTGGAAAACAGGTTCATGGTGTTGTGTTCAGAGCTGGGTTTGAGCAAAACCTTTTTATACAGACAGCTTTGATTGATTTCTATGCCAGAACTGGTTGTATGGAGATGGCACGTGCACTGATTGATAGAATTCCCCAACCAGATTTGGTTCCTTGGAATGCATTGATTGCTGGTTATTCGTTGAATGGGTTTAATTGGGAAGCCTTTGATGTTTTCAGAGAGATTATTTTTATGGATTTGAAGCCAAATTTAAGCACTCTGGCGAGCATTATTCCGGTTTGCACTCGTTTGGGGTGTATTCATACTGGTAAGTCCCTCCATTGCTTTGCTGTAAAATCTGGATACTTGTTCAATGATTTTCTTGTTCCCGCTTTAATTTCGATGTACGCTGGGGATGAAGATTTATGTGTTGCTAGAAACTTGTTTGATTCTGTACTGGAAAAGAATGTTGTTGTTTGGAATGCTATGATTTCTGCCTACACACAAAGGCAGAAGGCCATGTCAGCTTTCGAGATGTTCCAATGTATGCTTCGAGTTGGCACACAGCCTAATTTGATCACTTTCGTGTCCATTATTCCCTCATGTGAGAATTCCAGCAGCCTCGCTTTTGGTGAATCACTTCATGCTGGTGTAATTAAGCATGGGTCAGAAAATCAACTTCCAATACTAACAGCCCTTGTATCAATGTATGCCAAGCTTGGTAATATTAATTCATCCAGGTATCTTTTTGAGCAGACGCCCAGTAAAAACCTTCTTATGTGGAATTCAATGATTTCTGGGTACGTGTACAACGGGCTATGGGATTTAAGTCTCGATGTATTTCGGAAAATGCAGTTTTCAGGATTTGGTTCAGATGCAGTCTCCGTAGTTAGTATTCTTTCTGCATGCTCCAAACTTGAGGCTGATTTGCTGGGGAGGTCTGCACATGCATTTAGCATTAGAAAGGGTAGCCACTCAAACCTCAATCTGTCAAATGCACTGTTGGCATTTTACTCTGTTTGTCATCACCTCTCCTATGCAGTTACTTTGTTTCATAAAATGCCTATAAGAAATGCCATAACATGGAATACGTTAATATCAAGTTGTGTGCACCGCGGAGAAATGGAAAAGGCGGTTCCCATTTACCACCAGATGCAGAAAGAGGGCTTCAAGTTGGACTTGGTCACCCTGATAAGCATACTCCCTAGTTTCAGCGAGAAGGAAAACTTAGGGCAAGGAATGGCTATCCATGGTTACGCTATAAAAGACGGGTTCTCTTCTGATATTTCTATGGTTAATTCGCTCATTAGCATGTATTGTAACTGTGGAGACCTTGATGCTGGTAGGTTACTTTTTGAAGTCATGCCAAAAAGGAGTTTGGTGTCTTGGAATGCTCTGATGACTGGCTTCCGATACCACAATTTACAGAAAAAGGTTTTGGTCTTGTTGGGTGAAATGATGAAGGGTGGTGAGAGACCTAACTTTGTAACTTTGCTAAATTTATTGGCTGCATGCCACACACAATTACAAGGTAAGTCTATCCATTCTGTGGCCGTTATTACAGGAATTGTACAAGAAACCCCTCTCCTTACATCACTTATGTTCATGTATGCTAGATTTGACAACACAAATTCATGTCTCTTACTCTTCCAAATGGGAAATATGGGGGATATTTCTTTGTGGAATGCCATTATTTCTGTGCACATACGAACAAAAAATGGCAAAATTGCAGTTGCCTCGTTCTCTGGTTTACTTCAGATGGGATTCGAACCCGACAATGTAACAGTTCTGAGTTTAATTTCTGCATGTGTTCAATTAAGTAGCCTCAGCCTTGCTCATTCTGTAATGGCTTACATCATAAGAAAGGGCTTTGACAAAGATCTGCTCATCAGTAACGCCCTAATCGATTTGCATGCAAAATGTGGCAACATATTGGTTGCAAGAAAGCTGTTTGATGGTTTGGTTGAAAAAGATGAAGTGTCTTGGAATGTGATGATCAATGGATATGGCTTGCACGGGGATGGTGAAGCTGCCATTGATCTTTTCTTGCAGATGAAACTATCAAGAACAAAACCTAATGGCATCACTTATTCAAGTATTTTATCAGCCTGCAGCCACTCTGGCTTGGTTGAGCAAGGCCGCATGGTATACAATTCCATGGCAGAACATGGGCTATCACCCAAAATGGAGCACTATGCTTGCATGGTGGACCTTCTCGGAAGAACAGGCAACTTGACTGAAGCTTATGCCATTGTTAAAAAACTGCCCTGTAAACCTTCAACAAGCATACTTGAGTCTTTGCTGGGTGCTTGTAGAATCCATGGAAATGTTGAACTTGGAGAAAAAATTAGTGAGATGCTATCTGAATTGGACCCAGAAAATTCAAGATCACATGTGATGCTTCACAATATCTATGCAGCAGCTGGGAGGTGGGCAGATGCCGAAAGGGTGAGATCTGAGATGGAAGATAGACAACTGAGGAAAGTACCTGGATTTAGTTTTATCTCATAAGAAAAATTAAGATTTTTTTTTATAAGAATTGTGATCCTCTGTTCTTTTCATTGGTGGGTTCCATTTGACTTGTTTGAAACCAGTAAGTAGTTGACCTTTGCAGAGTCAGCTCTCAAGGGCACATTGGGGACCAACCGAGTAAGACACAGTCGTGTCATTGCCGTGTGAACTTGCATCCAACTGTACTGTAATAGGAAAACAGTTCTTTGTGGTTTTGTTTTTTTTGGGTCGAAACAGCTCTTTGCGGTGGTTTGTTTTTGTTGCACCAGAAATAGAGAGAACTTATGTGGTACAGTGCAGCCACTCACATAACAGGCACCTGATGTTTTTTAAAAACAATGGGAACCGGCTGTTTGGGTAACAGATTAAAAGAAGGAAAAAAAAAACAATGCGCTCGTTCTTCAACTTGCTTTCGACTCTCAACAGCGCAAGGCGGTGGCAGAGGACAGGTCGGACCGCTTGAATCGTCTCGGAGTTGCGCCGGCTTTTCGGAGCTGCGATCGTTAAATGCAAAATGTTAAATTTCTTTGTTCAAGGGAGATGTCAAATGCAAAATGTTAAATTTGAATGTGATGGCTTATGTAGCAATTTAACACTTGGGAAAAAATTTAACTCCACCCAAAATGTCAAATATCATATTATTGTATTATATTTTTTAAAGTAAATGGGGCTCATATGATGCATGAAGTTTTCAAAGAGAGTAAATGATAGTGGGGTTCATGACTAAAAAAATATTAAAATAACATTTGACATCAAGATTTTTGATATGTTATTTTTGACATATCTCTTTCAGCCTTCAAATTCATGTAGGATTTAATTACTCGATTGGAGCAATTTTAATATTTAATTTTTGTCATTTTATATCAATGTAGCAATTTGATATATTGATTAGAGATGTTCTAAGAGCAAACATGAGATACACTAGTTGATCAAGACAGTGAGCCCAATCCTTTGCACAAAGTTCAAATCCCCTTCCCATAAAGTTCGTATTACACTTAAAACAACAAATACTTACTGCTTTAGAATGCACGTTGTTTTTGCTCCTAAAGTGTACATATACATTGTTCATCAATGTTTTTAACTTGCAAATGCAAAGAATGTACATTGTTTTTGGTCCTAGTGTACATTGTTCATCAATGTTTTTAAAGGCTATTATTTCCGCGTGTTAGGGTAAAAGCCAATTGCATCAATGTTGTAGAAAGTCGGTCCACTTGTGCAACAAACAAAACCCTGAAAACCACTGAGAAAGTTGCGCTGTCAGCCTCGCATCATGCCAGGAGGTGACGAAAGCGATAAGCTCAGCAGGTCTTCAGACCCAAAAAGAAAAAGCTCGGTAGGTCTACGTGGCAGTATAAACTCTAGCTGGATAAACGCGGGCCCCACCTTCAATCTGCCCCTCTCTCATTCCCTTTCCTTCTCCCGTCTCACTGCCGCAGAGCCACAAGCGTGTGAGAACGGTGTGCACAGATGGCAGCCACCTGGAATTCTGGAGTGTCCCGCCCTCTCCCCGCCTATAAAACCCAACCTCTCGGCCTTCCCTTGTTCTCGATGTCCTTTTCTACAAACTTTCGCACTGATCCTCAGTTTTTTTGTTTTCCTTTGTTCCGATAATACCCCCGAAGAAAGAACAACTGGATAAAAATGCCCTTGCACGCCAATCGCATACAGCAGAAGCAGGAGCACTGCATCATGGTCTCCGCCCTCAAGCATGTAATCTCCGGCGGCATCACTGCCGGTGGTAGTAGACCCACTTCGCAGCAGCAGCAGCAGCTAACGGGAGCCGTCCATTCTGCCACGTCGTCAGTCCCCTCGAGGAGGGACGGGACCCAATCAGCAACGGACCAAGTACACATGCTGTCGTTTTCGGCAGAGGGCGATACGTGTCGGGTGTGCGGGATCGAAGGGTGTCTTGGGTGCAACTATTTCCCGTCAACAACATTGCCAGACAGAAACAAGCAACTGAATTTGGGGAGCGGGGCGAATGCGGGGACGAGGAAGGGGAAGAACAAGTACAGGGGAGTGAGGAAGAGGCCGTGGGGGAAGTGGGCAGCGGAGATTCGGGACCCGCGGCAGGCTGCGAGGGTTTGGCTGGGGACGTTCGAGACGGCAGAGGAAGCGGCCAGGGCTTACGACAAAGCTGCCATTGAGTTCCGTGGGGACAAAGCCAAGCTCAATTTCCCATTAACCTCCTCCGATCAGCTCAGCAATATCACTAATAACAACATCACTTCTAGTAGCAGAACTAAGACTAGCTCACAATTAATTAGGAGCATGGAAGAGGCTGATCAGGGCAAAGTCAATCCAATTACTGTGAAACAATCAGAGAAGATGGAAATGTTTGAGAGCAGTGCCCCGCAGGAAGAGAATGACCAGTTTCTCTGGGACATGCTTCAAGATGGAGATGATGACGATGAGTTGAAAGCATGGATGTCAGCCAACTACAATACCTCATGCTCTGCTTTGATGAAGCCAGGATAAGTTAGGGATTTTCATTAGAGACACATTTCAAATTAGGTTTTAATTAGTTCAAAAATAAGAAAGGCTAACAGCATTTTTGTTATCGTACTAATAACACGTCGATGAGTGGCTTGACGTTCTCGTTTGTTTTCTTCTGCTGGAAATGAAATTGAAAGTTACAAGGAAATCTGCTGGTTTTTTTAAACTAAATGTCGACGGCTCTCGGAAATCTGCTACTGGTGATATTGGTGCTGGTGGTGTTATTCGCAACTCTGATGGGGATTGGATTGCTGGATTTGCAGCCAACTTAGGCAAGGGTCAGATCCTTGATGCAGAGACTTGGGGGCTGGTTTTTGGGCTTAAACTTGCAGTTGATCGTGGGATCTCTAACCTCATTGTGGAAATGGATTCAGCAACTACTATACAGCTTATTCAAGCTCCTGATTACAGTAATTTCCACCCCCTTGCTGGTGTGATTTGCAGCTGTAAGGATTACATGGGGAAAATTAATAATTGTGTTGCCAGACACATTTATCGTGAGAAAAATTGCGTTGCCGACTGCTTAGCTAAGTCAGGTTACAATGTAGAGCTGGGAGTTCATCTCTTTGATAATGCCCCTGAGTGGGTGAGATCAACTCTTGCAGATGATAGTGCTGGGGTTCACGGAACCCGCCTAGTTTGTATTGATTTGTTTTAGTTGTTGTTCCTGGGGCTTGGCCCCCCTATCTCACCCAAAAAAAAAAAAGTTACAAGGACATTCTATATCTTGTCTGTTGACGTGGACCACTTTAGTGGACACGTGTCGGTTTGGGTACACAATACACGTTAGCGAAACCGATCTCGTATGATTACTAAATCACGCTCCCAATTGTTTCAAATTTCTTCCAACAACAAAATACATTTCATCTAAAAATAAATACAAATACAGAACAGGGTGAAGAAAGAAAGAAAGAAAGAAAGAAAGGGGAAACAAGAAATCCCTCCCTAGAAGGCCACATTTTATCATTTGCTAAAGTTGAAAAAAGAATGTTACCTGGAGACAACATTTTAGTACATCAAATCCCCAATAAATTGACAGTTCGGTTTGCAGACCAACAAAGATTTCAAACCCACAAACCCCCATGGATGATGCACCACAAACCCCCATGGATGATGCACCACAACTGAAAACAATATCATAGCTGACTCGTCAATACAACTATTACGTCTCCGAGCTAATCTGTCTTTTTTTTCTTCTAATCGAGCAACCACCAGGCAGGCCCAAAATTTCTGCAACCTTCATTGGGAAAACCAGCATACCTATCTATTGATATATCTCAAAAAAATCTCAATCTCAATACTAGACACGCACCTACCGGTGCAATGGACGCTGCAAATAAAAAAAAGCAACCAAAACTCTTTATTCCTGAACATCTCCTTCAACCTGCAGGCTCTCTTCTTCTTTTTTTTCTCAAATCCAAGCAGCTCATTTTGTAGCTCCTCACGGCGCTGTTGAACTCCCACTTGAGGTCTGTTTAGCCACATATACTTGCTTCATCTTAGAAGGTGGAAAGCCCTTTTCTGTACCCCCAGACTGATTCCTTCCCTGGAATCCCATTCTTCGAAGCGACCAGTCACCCCCTGAACTATTTTTCTGGGAACCCCCACCTCTCTGATAATAAGATGAATGGCCATACTGCTGGTTAGAGGTGTTATTCTTGTGCATAGATGACTGAGACTTGGCATTAGAACTCGCGCTATGTCCACTAACACTGGTACTGAGCTTCTGATCAACATCAGTCTTGGCAGTATCTACGGTGGTACTTACAGATGAGCTCTTAGTGACAGCACTCTGTGATGAAGCCCCAGTGCTGGAGGAGCTTGCGGGGTCTACTAATCCCAGTTCATCTGGGAATCGGGTGACAGTAGCATCAGTTGCTACAGGAAAATTACGACTGTTATCAAAGGCTGTAGAAGTCCGGGACTCGGGGAACCTGTTGGCCAGCAATGATTGGTCAGCAGGACCATGGCTAAATTTAGAAGGAAGTATACCATCTGCCTGTTGCTGCAATGGCATTGATATAGGAACAGACTGAAGAGGTGATGCAGGAACATGTGGCCATCGGGCTTGAACTGACATGTCAGGAGAGGACTGGGCAAAACAATATTACCCCATCATTAGTTATAGTTATGCCAGAAAGAAAGAGTATGGTGAATGTTCACCAACCCAAATAGCAATACATTAAAAATTAAAAAATTCTATCATCTTCATGCACCCACTTCAAATTCCTGTATCTACGACAAATTCGAAAAGGCATCATATCCACACCTCAAAGCATCCCCCTTCCCACTCTTTTCAGAGAGAACTCTTCCCCAAAAACCACTATGTTTCAAAACCTAAAAACCCAGGGATGGGGGGATATTTTAGGTCAATAGATTGAATTTTTACCTGGAAGGGAGAAACATCGAACATGGCCAAAGGTGAACCCATAGGAAGCAGTGGTGACCCAGGGGCCAAATGCTGGATCGGAGCAGGCATGTTGGTAGGGTTGCGCTGTGCAGAAACCATATTTATATTGTTCATCTCCCCCTCACCAACAGCCATGGCAGAAGATGCAGGGTTGTGCTTCCAATCTGGCTGCTTTCCTGATGGGATATAGGCAGTACCCATGAAACTCAAGCCAACTTGTCCAAATTGTCCAACAGGTGCAAAGTGGTTATAGACAACCATGTGTGGTGGACCTTGAACACCTGGTATGCCTCCAGCTGGACTGATAAAAGGACCAGTAAAACCTGCAGGAGGACCATAGAATGAATCTACCCCAGAATGACACTGCTGCCAGGTCCCAAGTGGCGCTGAAGCTGGTGCACTACTCTTTTGGGATTGTGGCTGGGTAGTAGATGCAGATTCATCATGCGGTCCAAAAGCAAAAACCGGACCCCCCAACATGGGATTCATTTCATAAAAGGGAAAATGGGAAGGCGGGCCACCAGGAAAATGTGGAAGCATTTGGCTTGAGGAATTCTGAGGACTTGGTAACGGCGGCCATAGCGAAATTGGTGGTGTCTCAACAGATAGATCTGCTGGAAGGGAAACACTGAGAGACTCTTCGGCCCGTGATTGACTGGCTAATTGCTGATCACCTGCTCCACCAACCAAAGATTTTAATATGATAATAATCATTAAAGGGAAAAAAAAAAAAAAGACTCATTTCTAAACAGAAAATCTATCACGCCTGCTGTCCTCCCATCAATGATAGATCTGCTGGAAGGGAAACACTGAGAGACTCTTCGGCCCGTGATTGACTGGCTAATTGCTGATCACCTGCTCCACCAACCAAAGATTTTAATATGATAATAATCATTAAAGGGAAAAAAAAAAAAAAGAGGACTCATTTCTAAACAGAAAATCTATCACACCTGCTGTCCTCCCATCAATATCAGCAACTTCAACACTCTTGGGAAGGGCAGCCACTATGAAATTGGTTATAAGGAAATTATTCTGACCTGGTAATGGTGGCCTTAGTGAATGGGTCTCAACAGATAGATCTGCTGGAAGGGAAACACTGAGAGACTGTTTGGCCCTTGATTGACTGGCTAATTGCTGATCACCGGCTTTATCTACCAGAGATTTAAAATCATTCTAATAAGACAACAACCATTAAAAGGAGAAAAGCAAGGTTCATTACTAAACCAGAAAAATTATTCACACCTTCTGCTACCCCATCAATATCGGCACCTCCAAAACTTTTGGTATCTGGAACTGAGACAGAGCAAGCACCCAAACCATTCCCAACAATTTCGTCACTGCTAATGGCTGCAACAGCAACAGCTGAAGCCGCTGCTTCAGCTTCAGCTTCACAATCTTCCAAATGAACACATGATTCAGTGGTGTGTAGATTCTCACTTGCAGAAAGATTGTGGGAGAGTTGCATGTCTGACCGAGATGGTCCTGGTGGGCCGATTCCATGTGATACAGCACGGCTGCTAGGAGGGAGTATTGTTGGAGACGTAACGGCACCTGAATATAGGGGGATAAAATCATCAAGAAAAGAAAAGGCAATTGCAACATTTAGCAAGCTATTGAATTTTCTTAACATGCTCACCAAATTGGATTTTCTCGCCAGCAAGCAGGGAATTGATTGGATTTGCAGCAGAAGAGAATGGCTTCTCCTTTGTCATGATGGATGACGATGGCATGCTGGACTCACAAACTGAGCTATTAATTTCTCCAACAGAACCATGAGAACCAAATTGCCCAGGCTTCATAGCCTCATCAAGTTGGGTCTGCGTCAAGGCCATAACCTGCCAGTGTAGTCAATCAGTTGCAGACTCTTATACAGAAAAACAGATATCTAGGAAATACAGAAGAGGATGCAAGCACGCTATAGAATGAAATACATCAAGGTACAATGATCTATGTTTTTCCAGTCCAAGGAGCTAGCTTGTTTCAATGGTCTCAAAGTTCCACCACCGCAACAAACACCCCTCCCCCCACCCCCAAAAATAAAAAAGAGGATTGCTTGACCTCCCACCACTCTGGTCTCAAGGATAATAGCGGAGAACCCAGCACCCCACTAGAAATCACTATATGTTGCTTCATCAGTATAATAAATGTCAAAAATGTACAACAAATCTAAAAAATTCCTTCATTCTGGATTTCACTTATGAAGTAAATGCTCGATAGGTAGAATGGAATGCAATTAAGAATTCATTTACAAGCATGGAACACATTAATTTTCCCAGAGAATCTGAAAATGAATTTATTTCTTTGGGCAAATGGAAGCACCCATTATGAGTCATGAAAGCAACACAGTGAAGAAACCAACAAAAAAGGAACACCAGAACCTGAACTTGTTTCTAACAAAAACTCTATTTAGCTTTAAAATGAAAAACCTAGGATATAATAAAAATTTGCGATCGAAAACATAATTGTTTTGCACACCTGTTGATTAATCCGTGAATTACCCCATGAGCTCAAAGATGCTTGAACATTATCCAGGACCTTATTGTTGTTCTCGATAATTGAGCCTCGCCCAATATTTTTTACACTACCTGATACTACAGGAAGGGAGCTTGTGTTGAGTGACCTGTTGAGAAGAAAAAGAAAACCATTAGAAATCAATGTGTGCACATTATAGGCGTTGTATATTTCTCCAAAGAGAGCAATACCTGATTGTTTGGGATCTAATATCAGCCTGGACATCACTTTTCACAGCAGGAGTGCCAATTGGAGCCAACGGTTGAGACACTGCATTAGTGTTAAATCCAGCTGATACTTCAATATTTGCCAATCCACGTCCCTCAGAGGCAACAAAATCAGAGTGAATGCTGTTTCCTGCTTCTCCATTTGTCGCTGCAGAACTTTT